ATCCATGGAATCCTTCCCATGCCCTCTCTAAGTTTATTGAAATTAGCTCTCTTGAAGTCCAAGACTCTTTGTGTTCACTGACTTTGGAAGAACGCCCACTATTAAGCTCATTATGGCTTACTTTGCAATAGGCTTATACAAGATTGTTATGTGAGAGATGGAGTTTGTGATACAACTGAATGAATGTGTAAGAACATGTGTGCCAGGCAAGCATTAAATATTAGCAACACTGGGGTAAATCCACCCACATTCTTTGGAGCATATTTCTTGCCTTTGAATTCTTTATTTATGGTTTATACCTTCTTTCCCATTCTTCAGATTTGAAAGTGCCTCTCCTGGGGACACCCTCCAATATTTTTCTTTTATAAGCTTATAAGCTTGTTACTTTAATCTCTGTACTACATCGCAATATTTTGATTGCATCTTTAACATCTTAATGGGTTAGATATGCTAAATGCAATGTTTCATGTTTATGATCTTCAGATTATTTAACTGCTGATATATAATTAACTTAATTATTGTTGTTCCATGTTGTTATTTTAATGAGAAGCCAAATAATTTTCTAAGGATAGTTGCATGGTAAAAGAAAAATAAGTAAAGTATAAAGGCACAGGCAGACAAATTATATTTTAAGTAGTATAATTCTGGTGTTGACATATTATTAAAATGTCTTCCTCCTTGCCCTTTTGTTAAAAAAATATAATTTAAATGTTGACAAGCAAATATGTCAACAATCAGTTTTGAAAATTAACCAATCTTTATGCCCTGCAAATCCACAATTCTTGATAGATTCCATATAATTGAGATGTTCTTAAAAACAATGCATGAATCTTTAATATGCAGCAATTGAACCAAATTCATGTTAACATTCCTTCTGATGTCAGCCCAGAGTGATGAAAATAGAACAAGCCAAAACCATATGGGATAATATTTTAATTTCTTAGTTGCATCTCCAAGCATTAGTTGCAAGACAATTATAACCTTCTGTATAAAGTATTTTAAGGTGTCCAGTATACATGAAGCATTGACAAATGTAATCAGTGGTGGGATTCAGCCATTTCGCACCACTTCAGCAGAACCGGTAGCTAATTTTTTTGTTGCCCAGGCCCAGAATGGACTTCCAGAAGCAGCATCCACACAGAAATCCGGTTGTTCACATATCTGAATCCCACCACTGAATGTAATTATATTGACTTCATTTTAAGAACATAGGAAACAAATTTCAAATTATTTATTGACTTTCCTTTGATTTACCAAGACAAAATAGTCAAGTTTATTATTCCAGACATTCTGTAGATAACTAGTTGTTCAACTTCAATATCCTATTCACCAAATAGTTAATTCTCAAGTAGAATAACCAAAACAAAAAAACCACTCCACTCTAAGGCATTTTTGCAATTCTGCAAATGCTTTTAAAAAATGTTTTCTCCAAACTGAATTGATCCAAAGTAATAATACTATAGAAAGGCTACTTTGTCCTTCTCAAATAACTACCATGTGCTATTTTTTTCAACTGAGATTATTTCATAGTGTAAGCTATTCACTATGGATAGTTTGGTATAAGTCTGGTGTAATAGTTAAGGCACCCATTTAGTGTAGATCCAGTTTGGTGTAACAGTTAAGACACCAGACTAGAAACCAGGTGACTTTGAGTTCTAGTTCTGCCTTAGGTACAAAGCCAGCTGAGTAACCTTGGGACAGTCACTAGTGCTAGGAAACAAGCAATGGGAAATCATTTCTGAAATATTGCCAATAAAATTTGTCCAGTCAGGCACCGGGATTTGAATGGCACCAAAAAAAGCATCTTCCTTGTATAATGTGATTAAAAATCTGTTTGGAATGTGTAAAGCTATTAAGGTTTTCCTAGTTGCAATGTATGGCTGTGAAAGTTGGACCATAAGAAAGGCTGAGCGCCAAAGAATTGAGGCCTTTGAACTATAGTGCTGGAGAAGACTCCTGTGAGTCCCTTGGACTGCAAGGCATTCAAACTGGCCAGTCCTAGAAGAGATCAACCCCGACTGCTCTTTAGAAGGCCAGATCCTGAAGTTGAAACTCAAATACTTTGGCCACCTAATGAGAAGGAAGGACTCACTGGAGAAGGGCCTAATGCTGGGAAAGATTGAGGACAATAGAAGAAGGGGATGACAGAGAATGAGGTGGCTGGATGGAGTCACTGAAGCAGTAGGCGTGAGCTTAAATGGACTCCAGAAGGTGGTAGAGGACAGAAAGACCTGGAGGAACATTGTCCATGGGGTCGCGATGGGTCGGACATGACTTCGCAACTAACAACAACAAAGCTATTCAGTTCAATCCACTTATTAGTGATCCAGTCCCGGCCAGTTCCCCATGACAGACTAACGCTACCAGTAGGACGTGAGATTTGTCACTGTAATGCTTTGACAAATGAAAAGCTTTTCTCAGATTGTGCCAGTCTCCTTTTTCTGCTGCAGGTAGAAATTCTCAACCTGTGACATTCCAGGGATGAAGAGGAGGCAGAAAGAGAAGAACCAACTCTGAATCTTTTGAATCACAAGTCAGCCTATTCTCCAAAATGAACCAAACTGGCACAGCTGATTTCGGTCCCATCACTACCAGTTGGGGAAGTCAAGCTTTACAGACATCCCTTCCCCCATGGATCTGGACTGCAGGAGGATTTCTGTCCCTCTTCTCCGTCCCAAACTTTTCAAATACTTTTCTAAGAAGTATGCGCATCCTCCATCCGTGGTGCGAGCATGCAAAGTAAGCACGAAGACATTCGGGAAGAGCTTAACTTCAGACTGAATCGCAGGCTGGCACGTGATCGAATTGCCTCCCGTGACTGCGGGGCTAAAGAAGCGGGGAGATCTTGCTTCTTGGTGAAATCAGTCAAAATAGAGGCTCCCCAGAGAGACTCCAAAACTTGTTTCCCAGGTTACTGAAATCAACCGAAGGGACCTTAATTCTTATCGTTTTGCTTGCGGAGAAATGGGATTTCTATGAAACCAATAAAAGGAGTTTGCTCCCCTTACTGCAAAAAAAGCTGCCAGCCGCCAACTCCTCTTTCGTACTCGAAATTCGGAACATCCCAGGCTCGGCCGAGTTGGCTTTTGCGGCACCTCCCTCTCCGCGTTTGTTCTCCACGAGAGCAGCGGCAATGAAACTCTGTCGGCCAATCGGAGACGGAGAAGGGGGGAATCTCCCTCGCCAGGACCCGCCCAGTCCGCCCTCCCGGTGGTGCTGAAAAGGACAGTGCCAGGTTC